TTGCGCAACCTAACGTTTCAGCGCTGGTGTTGGTGAATGTGTGTTGCGTGTACCTTCATCTTGATCAAAAGCTGAGTCTCCAACCTCTCAGGCATGTGGATGTTCACATGACATGCGCGATGGAGCGTCGGCGTCGTGGGCACGGAGGAATTCGACAGTTTGGCGCGGATGTTGAACTGATGGTGGAGTTTGTGGGACCACAGCGGGTGATTGACGATTCGACGCTTGAACAGTTGATTTCAATTTTCTGAGGAGAAAGGACAAACAGCTGATTGATACGTCCAGCAGATGTTGAAAGCCTGGGAAGATCAGATTGGGCCTGTCAAGCTCCAACAACTACCAGCAGACAACTCAACCCAGATGGAAGACAAGTCAGAAGTCTTGCATAAGCCAAATAAGATGGCCTTTTCTGAAGCACTGTTCAAATCCTACAGCCATGTCATTGCATCGCTTGAAAAAGACCTTGTGAAATTTGAAGAAGACCATGGGCTGTTGTCTGGTGCTTGAGGAGGAGAAGGTTATGTCAAGAAAGGCGAAAGCTAGTGCTTGGAGACATTCTCAGGTTCAGACTGGTGTGGAAACAAAAGCCACAGAAAGTCAACATCAGGAGGTGCGTTGAATAGTTGTCCATTGTTCAACAGCAGCAGAACCCAGAAGATTGTTTGCCTGTCTTCATGTGAAGCAGAGCTACATGCCATAGTTTCCTCAGCGTCAGATGCAAACTACATCAAAGCAGTTCTGGAATTTCCTTTTGGGACAAAGGTGGACCATCACATCTTCACAGATTCAGCAAGTGCGCGTCAACTTGTGACAAAGAGAGGAGTTCAAAAGTGAGACACTTTGATGGAAAATGGTTATGAGTCCAGAACAGGACACACTTCAAGATGGTACAAGTGCCAACGGACAGCAACATGGCAGACCTCAACAGACAACCACTTGGAGGACAAAGAATCAGACACTTGGTGAACCTGACTGGGTACTGGCACAGTCAAGGCGGAGTGAGAGTACGAGAATATGAGAGGAGGGAATTTCCAAAAACAATTTGCAGGAAAGGTCAACAAGATTGCAAAGATGCTTGTGATGGTGGTGGCATTAGAGGGCTTGCAGCCAGTGGTTACAGCATTCTTCAAAGAGAACATCCATATTGTTAAAAAAACATGAAGTTGGAGGAGAGGAAGGAACCCAAGGGAAACTGGAAATTTTTGATCATGGTGACTATTGCAATCAACATGATTTTCCTTGCGGTAGTAATCTTTGTGGTCTGTAAAATTGCCAAACGTCTTGAATTTAAACTCAAACAGGACAGTGATGAACAATGGGGTCATACAGAAAAACGCTACTATGACAAGTGACAACACACTGATTGGAGAGCAGACAACCTAGAGTTCAGTTTTAAAGAACTTGAGACTGACATCAGGAACATGGAGAGAGATATCAGTCGAATGGATAATGGTGGATCAACACTCTACACAATCACGGCAGAAGAATTCACAGTGGATTGATTCTCAATGGAGGCTTTGCAGAGACAGAAATTCCAAACACACAAGCTATCAGTGTGTATGACTTGTTAAATGCGTGAATGCAGGACTCTACTTATCCAGAAGAAACTTAAAAGAAATGCCGAAAACAACACTATTCTATGAATGGAGCAAACCCAACAGAAAGACATACAGAAGGTTCAGGCCAAGAAGCAGAGAACTATCAGTCAGGCAAGACTATGAAACAGCACAGGCAAACCAACTGTGTGGTAGACTTGAAGCAAAATTGCAGCATTTTTTTGAAAAACATTACAACTTGTTGGGAAGAGGACAACCAGAGGCAGCAGATGCAGTTGAAAGAGACATGGATAATTTCCGTGAATTGTTGGATTGCGCAGGAAGGATGAGAGAACATCCAGATGTACCACATGAAGTGACATGAGTAGATCCAGAAGATAAAAACGAAACAAGAAATGAGTGAGAAAAAATGGACTATAGTGGCTTGCAGCAGCTTCTGTGAGTGAACGGGCAAGCAGGAGATAGTCCGGCAACATCAGGAAGAACCAAAGGAAGAGGGTGGGAGGCCCCCCCTTTAACTTGAGTCGGTCCGTGCGCAGGCAGGTTCTCAGATGCTCTTTTGTCAAGCCCTATAGGCCACAGGAAGGGCCATGTCTTCCTCTTCCCACCTTGTTACATGCGGCTATTCCTCCCCACCCAGGACGCTCGTACAGCTAAGCTGAGGACACGTCCTTCCATGTGGCAGGCACGGGCTGCAAACCAGGTTGTGCACCAGTATCTGCAAGAGTTAGTGCGCATGGGGTGGCAAGGATGCAATGGGTTGACGACTTATCCGCAGGGCATCAGACGAGGAACCATGTGACTCATCTCATGGACGAGAGCCCATCGTAGCAAAGTGCAGGGTACCACAGTGCTTGTAAACACTCTGTGTGGAGGTGTCAATTTCAACCCCCCCCGTCATCGTCCTATCCGCAGGGCATCGGACGGAATTTGTACATGAGGGTTAGCTCTCATGTGGACTTAGCAATCCATGGGCCTGCCCATACCCTAGCACATAAAAACAGGCATAATTCTGCAAGATTTAGGACAAAGGATGCTATGGTGCGACGTCTTATCCGCAGGGCATCAGACGAAGACCCATGTGACTCATTTCATGGATGAGGACACTCAGCAGCAAAGGAGCAGGGTACCACAGTTCTTGTGAGCACCCGATGCTAAGGTGCCAGGTGTCAATTCAACCCTCCGTCATCGTCCTATCCACAGGGCATTGGACGGAATTGGTATGTGTCATGAGTGTGTAGATGGGGTTCACATCTAGGGTAGAGTTCCTGGTATTTAACCACGTAGGGCTTAGTGGATCAAAAGGGCACGTAACCTAACACATTTTTACATGTTCCTTACCATTATGGCTGGGTTACACGTGGCAAGTCGTGGGGTAACTCCTAATTCTTGGAGGGTAGTAAAAACTCTTGTGGAAACAAATTGAAACATTGCAATGCCGCAATGTTTTAGTTGCATTGTTTGGGGCACTTCAGCATGGTCCAACTTATTGCAAAATGCACAAATATTTTGCAAAGGACCAAGTGCTAATTGTTTTGCTTGCCCCACGGTGCCAAAACCTCGTTTTCAACCAGCTCTTTGTCATTTTTGTTCACAGTTTGTGCATTTCACTCCTTTTGTTGCATTTTCCCTTTGTTAGTGTGCAGTCTTTGCACCATTTGCTCTGTTGTGCATTTTGGCCAGCAGGGTTACTTTGCATAACCCGTTGACCACCCGGAATGTAGCTGTTTGCTTCTATTGACGTGACTTGGCTGGAATATGGGATAAGATGACTGCTCCAGACACAGGCTTCTACTTCCTGAGTCATTGTTACCGTGATCCCAGCCATCGGCATGAACTTGTTTGCACCCATTTGGATGTTGAACAGGGAAATGAGCTACTACGGGCTCCTGGCCTTACTACTAGGAGCAAGGACGCTACTAGGAGCAAGGGCATCGCTACTAGGGGCTCCTGGCATCGCTACTAGGAGCATTCTTACTATATACTAGGATGTTGGCTGAACTGAGGTTGCCCATGTCGGTGCGGCTGTTCTCGCTGCTCCATGTGTTCCTTCTGCTCGATGGGGCGAATCCGATCTATGCCGCCAATCCGGTCCGAAAGGCCGGTTTTTACTTTTTATTCATTGGTCAGGTTTGTGGCCACCAGTCTGTTGAAGGTCCAGTTTGTGGTCCAGTTTGTTGAGTGTGTGATTTTTGGTCTCTTCAGGTGGTCAACTTGTTGCAGAACATGAAGACCAAGGTCGAGAAAGAAGGGGCTACTTGGCAGAACGGCAGAACGCTAGTTTTTCTGCCTGTTTTTGCTTCGATTCCAGCGGAGCCTGTCAATGTGACAGACTCTTTTGAGGAGACGGAGAAGGAGTTGTACGAGAAGTTTCAGTGCTACTGCAAGAAGAACATTGGTGAAATGGAAGAGAGCCTGAAAGTCAATGAAGCAAAACTTCCGCCTCTACGGAAGAACCTCGTAGCAACTGATGCTCGGACTGAATGACTTGTGCAATCTTCGCTGAGAATCCATCATTTTAGCTGGTGTTATGTGCTTTCAGTCTGGTGGTTGGATTGATTGGGTGGCAGACTGTCTTTTCTTCGCACAGAGCAGAGGTGCAATAGTATTGCCAGCAATTCAGCTCGTTGGTCTCCAATCACCTTCTCAGAAGGTCGTTGGTTTCAATTTCTTCAAGGGTTAGGGCGACCACTTCCAATGTGGTCTTCTTCCAATGTGGTTTTCTTCTCAGGAAGAAGAGCTGAACAAGGTCACCGCGCAAATCCAAACGGCCAAGACGGAACGTCAAGAGGTGGCAAGAGGGTTGTCCGTGGGGATGGGATGAATTTGGATGCATGATTCATCAGCCATCGTTCGTCACGACGCCAAGGACTTTGTTCAAGTTTGGGATGTATCTCATTGCTACTAGGTTGGAGGCCATCAATCACAAGTATGTCGGAGGCCATTGCTATTAGGTAGGAGGCCAGCTATTGCATCATCCACCAAGTTCGGGCTGAGGCGGAGGATGGTGTGGCGCAGGCCGCCGCCCTGCGGCGGGGTGAAGCTGAGAGCTTTCAGAAGACCTCCGAAGAGCAGACAAATGCAATCGAAGCCTGGCGGTTTGGAGATGTGTTTGGAGAGGTGAGCACCCTCCTGACCTGTGGAATGTGTTCGGGAACGTGTTTTTGAAGTTGCAACTTGAATACATCTCTGCCTAGGGAAAGAATGGGGTGAAACGGCCTGCCCCATGCCTTTGCAGTTCAAAGGATTCACATAGCGCTCCTTCACAAGTGCAGTGGTGGTAAGTCAATCTTTCTGAGAATATGGGGAAACACATGACGACCGCGATGCTTTCATGCATGTTTGGGGATGTTTTCTTTTTTTCACAAAACATGGGGGCAAGTGCTTTTGGTTGCCGACATTTAACTTCGGCGCCCAGCGGCCCCAGTTCTCCTTGGAGAAGCGCCTGGATGCCCCGATTTCCCAGGAATCCATCGAGCAAGCCATTGCAGCGTTGACCAAGGGCATGGCCCCTTGGAGTGGAAACGCTGGGACGGCCTGATCTCACACGGCTTTGCACGCGACTCTTTGGAGCACAGAGGAAAGGGGCACACTCTTTCGGAGACACTTGGACATTTGGAAGGTGCACTTTCGGACTACTCTCTTGAACCAGTGAGAAGCACCACTCCGCGACTGAAAAAGAACGCAAACACACTCGAAGTGGGCCAGCGAGGAGCAGACTTGAGAAAGAAGTCTCAAAACAAGTCCACCATGAGACGGTGTAATGACGGTGCAAACGTTGAGGTGCGCTCGAAAACGTCCGAAGACAAGTAAGGGCCAAACAGGTTTTCGAGTTTTCTTTCCTTTCCCTGTGTCATCCCAAACTCGTAATCATGGAAGCAGCTTCCAAATGCTGTCATGTTATATGGTTTACCTTCTGGTGCTATTTGGAAGTTCATGCAGGAGTCAATTTTTCAACTGGTGTCAGTGGCAAGTGGTGGAGGGCATTTTTCCGGAACACCAAGGCTGAGTCCTTTTTGCAGACGGACGCTGCTGAGTCCCTCCGGAGGTTCTGGAAAGAGCCTGCCATGGGGGTGCTTTGGGGAACTTTCATCCATTTAATGCAGAGTTGTCAAAGACTGGGATTTGACCCAGTTTGAAAGACTGGAATTTGACGAGGCCTATATGTATGTAGTTTGAAAGAATGCCTGTATCCAGAGCCTTTTTTCAAATAGCATGCATTAACCTCCCACCCTCTGTCAAGATGTCAGTTGATGCTGTTCGATTTTGAGCTGGCAGATTTGTCGTGTGAAAATGCAGTCAGGGTGATGTCATAAGTACAGAGGGCTTCGAGGGAAAGAGTTGCAGGTTTGCCTTTGACAAGGATGGGCTAGAGGAGATGGAACGCCAGGAGAGGCATGAAGATAGATGGTGAGCATGCGGGACTGGAAACTCTCGATCGACCCGCTGTTTCGGGCTTAGCAGTGCGTTCTGAAGCGCCCTTGGCTTCATTGAGACTGCCAGGACCTTTTAGCTTTTCTGCAGCACGGCAGGGCTCCCAAAAACCAGACAAGGGCTCCCTCAAGCAGAGTTTGCTGAATGTTGGATTGAAAGAGGATGGGTGAAGAATGCCAGAGTCAAAAGAACCGGACATTTGCCACTCCTTTCTGTGCTTACTTTCACTTTGTGAGTCTAACCAATAGGATCATTTTTACCGTGATGTGCCAAAGAAATCTGTGGCACAAGTGCTAAACTAACTCGATTTTCTTGATAAACGATGTTTCTCAGCACTTTCTGACCTTTCGCATGTCCTTATTTCGTTCCAGTAGTGCACGCCACACCCAGTGCCAGGTAGTGACTACGTGCCGCAAAGTGGCCAGGCCTGGACGAGGATTTGCGAGGGGAACCCCCTCCTGATTCAAGAGCCTTTGAACTATGGAGCCTATATAGAGATAGAAGTGGCAAAAGAACACGACTTGGCAATTTTGTGATCACGGAAAGCACAGATCACATCCACAGAAACTGAGTCTAAGACCAGCCAGTGTCATTGGCACATGAATTTCTGGATGCTCATGAAATTTTGGGCATGTGTGACTGGCGACTTGCTAGTAATTACAATTCTAATTAAATTCTTATTGTTACTAGTAGTAAGGCACTTGTTTCTAATAGCTTCTTGTTACTACTAGTAAGGCACCTGTTACTACTAGCATGGCACTTGTTACTAGTAGCTTTCAGTGTTGTGAAGAAGAAAGGGTTTGGTACATCGGTGGTACATCGGTCTTTTGAGACATCGCTCTGAACTCGGTCGCTGGGGCGCCGATGTCTCTCCGCCCAGATCTTGGGGATGCTGAAGCACATGGGCTCCGACACACGGGAGGCCCTGGCAGAGGCCCAAGCCACCGAGGCCAAGGCGGTGCAGGACGGTGTCGAAGTTCCGTGGGACTGGACTTGGCCCGTTTGGCGTGGGGTCGGCTGGCAGCTGGGTGTTTTTTGTATCTGCCCATAGTTGTTCATCGCTCTTGCTTTTTTGTAGATGCGCGAAGCGTTCAGGATGATGCGGTGTTTCTCTTCCAGTTTCTTTTCAAAGTGGGCTGACCGCTCTTCTTCCTGGGCCCGGGCTGGACCGATTCTTGTTGAGCGATTTGGATGCCTTGAACACCGTTGAATGGCGACTTTGGAGGAGTTCAAAGAGCTCTCAGCTGCAAAGAGCAAGGAGATCAAGGCAGTTTTTTTTCATCTTAATTTTTGAACGTTTTAATTGATGGAACACCAATATTGTCAAGAACGGGCCTGCAACATGTGGCGTGCTAGTGGTGTGAATCCATGCAGGAAGTCCCGAAAAATAGTTTTCGGTGTCAGGGGTTGGTCTGGTTGGGCTCCCAGCTTTTTAGGGAGGAGGCTCCAAAGGTGCGCCAGGATATCTTCTTATGTGAGGGTCCTGAAGCACCAGTAGGTGCTGAGTCACAAAGGATCTTTGAGACGCTGAACTAGTAAGAATATACGTGCAACTGCAAGAGTAAGCAAGAATGCAAACTCTCGTGGCTGCAGTAGCAGAATGTTCTGGAAGTCGGAGACAGGCATGACCCCACTGGATGATTTCGCTCTCCAGCAGTCCAGTTCATTTATGGTGAGGGGTTTCCTTCAGGCGTTGACCACAACCATCGAAGAGAAGGTCGAAGATCAGGGGGAGCTCAAAGTGGTCTGGAGCCCGGGAAAGACATCATCGAACCGGGTCATGAACCAAAGATCGACAGCTTCAAGCCAAGAACCCACAGATGCAAGGTCCGACAAAGTGCTTGGGAAAGATATCAACAGAGACCTGGTCCAAGGGCTTGGAATCACTTCTAGGCGTCGGAACTCGTTTCACTCTCCACAAGTCGTTTGGTGGAAAACGGCAGGTGTCCAGGAAGATGGGAGGTGTGCCGTTCGTTTTGTATTTTCGTCCGACTCCGGGAGGTTTCAGACTGAAACGACTTGGCATTCGTTGGGTGATCCGTTCTCCCACATTTCTTTTGTTCGTATGTGTTAGGGGAGGCCCCTAGGACCTAGTGACCGTCTGTAGAAGCCAAGTGATTGGTGCTGTCATGCTTCTCCGCTGAAATTTGGGCTTCGAAGCCATGGCCACGGCAGCTGCAGTCGAATTTCGATCCGGGCCGCTGCACGTCGTCGATGCCGTGGACGCGGTGCCAGCGACCATCGTCACGCGGCAACGGCGCGTTGTGGGGCAATCTCCTCAGAACACACAAGACGTCTGGGGCCTGGGGATCCCATTGTGCCTCAGATTGGCTGTCACGAACGACAAATGAATGAGTGACATTTTGCTGTTTTTATACTTACTTTTGCTCAATAGAGACCATTCCTGCTGGGGGGGTGCCAAGATGAAGACTCTGGCGGACTCTTTTCTTATCATTCTTTGAAGAGTTCAAGCTCAACTTGTCCTGTGCTTCCTATCCCACTCTGAGGCACAGTGAAGGGATTGCGCCAAGACTTGCTCCAAAAGGGTCCAGAGGTGCCTGTGGCCCGTCAGCTGCCGCCTACGATGCAGGAGGTCCAGCCACCACCCATCATGCAAGAAAAATCTTCGACCCGCCTCGAAGTGCATCCGAGCCCCTCTTTGCCGTCCCTCGACTCTGTCCACCAACCAGCCCCCTCACAAGAGATCCAGGTCTTTGCGGACCGACAGCCAGCGACCTTCCAAGACTTCCTAGCCCAACAGCCAACATCACAAGAGGTCAGGAGGGTAATACATGAGCAAGGGCCTGTCGCCCAAGACACGCTGGTGGTTTATCAGCCACCCCTGCTCGATAGCACGCCAAGTTTCCATCATCCCACATCCTCCATCCAGGAATTCAGGAGGGTGGTGTATGAGCCGAGGTCCTCAGTCCGAGACATCCGGGTTGTTTGTGAGCCTTCGCCAACCCTGGCCCCTGAAAGCCTTCCAACATTGCATCAGCCAACACCTTCCATTGAGGAGATAAGGAGAATAGCGCATGAGCCAGGGCCTCTGGCCAAAGACGCCTGGGTATCCAGTGTCGATATTTCAGTGGCCCATCAGTCACCACCTCCGATCCAAGAGGTGAAAAGGATACTGCATGAGCCAGAGCCTCTAGCTCACCGCATCCATGTGGTTCATGAGGCGCCCATTGTCCACGACATTCCGGTGGAACACCATCAACCACTCGGGAGAGTGGACTCGGGGCCTGTTGCCCAAGTGCGCCACCCATCACCCATCCGGGAAACCTTCCACTGTTGCACCAGCCAGGACCTTTCGTCCAAGAGGTCAGGAGGGTAGTGAATGAGCCTGGGCCTTTCGCCCAAGACATGCAGGATGTTCGTGAATCCTCACCTGTCCATCAAGACATCCCGATCTTAGAGAAGTCCCACAGCTACAAGGTCTTCGGTGATTTGTGGGGCAGATTAAGTGGGAGTCACTTGCCCAGGAGTCAATCATAGCGAGCGTTTTCAATTTTTGTATTTGCTTGCTGTACCGAACAGCAGCACGTGTGGCTACATATTGCACACCCCTGAAATAGTCAAGAGTGTTGCTGCCAGGGTTGCTCAGCTGAGTAGTGGCAATGAACTGAGCTGCCTCTTGATTGCTGTGCATCCCAAGCTTGTTGAGAATTATACTTCCACCAGAGATACGACAAGCCTTTGAGAGGAACATCAGATCCCAAATGCAGATGGTAGGTTTGGCAAAACCTCACATCCCATAAGAACTCTCCACCAAATTCCTAGAAACACATCCAATGAAGCACCGCGTCCCCAATCCGAATGACAAAGATGAAACTTGCTTATTTGGGTAATCGGGTAATCCCCACCCCGGCCGACCCCTTAGAGGTGAGTTGGAAGAAAAGGACATATTCTGGGAAGCGACCTGACAATTGCCTGACATACTGTATATATATATATATATTTATACTGATATATTTACTGGCATTTCATTTGCCATTTGCACCCTCTTGCATCCTGATATACACTCTGACATTTCTAGCGGCGTGTGCTCTGATTTGTGCACTGACATTCAAATTCGAGATGACATATTTGGCAGATGATATTGGCACAAGGTCCAGTGCCCCACATCCCTTTTGCTGCCTCACCTGACAGGGGTATTTTGTTCACGACACATGACTGTTTTCGAGGCCATGAAGCTACTAGGAACAAGTGCATCGCTTCTAGTAACAAGTGCCTTACGCTAGTAGAAACAAGTGCCACGCTAGTAGTAACAGGTGCCTTACTAGTAGTAACAATGTTTGCTACTAGGAACAAGTGCCTTACTACACATGCTGTGTGCCAGACTCTTTGTGATTCTGCCCTCCTTGTGCGTCTACGAAAGATGTGTTGTCCCTGGGGTCAACGGGGATCAAGCCGGGCTACACTATGTGTTGGAGTCTCGCTAAACGCTGTGGTGCTAGTGATTGTGCTCTGGCCTTTTTGGACATAAGCATTGTCACAAGCAAGCGGATCCTGCTTTTCTCAGTTTGTGGAGATTTGGGTTGAACTTTCTGCTGCCCACAGCAGTAAACAGAGCCCGCCACATGCTGAGGTAAAAAGGCGGTCTTTCCAAGTGGACGCGATTGGCCTGAAGTCCGAGTGAACCCCTTCTGTGACTACCTGGAGTGTGATCCTCAAAGGACGGGATTTGCTGGTGTTGGGGTGACCGGCTTAGGTTACCTGGTCCGTTTGTGAAGCCACTCCGGAAGAGAGTGGACGAAGGACTTCCGGCCAAGACCCTGAGATGACCCCAAACAATGCCCGGCCAAAGGGGTGTGAACGTCTCAGCAACCCCCCCGGGTGACCCTCGCAACGAACGGTTTACGCACCGCGCCCCGACGCACCGCGAGGCCTTGCTGTTGGGTCGGACCGGGCGTTGCGGACCTGCTCGGTGCCTTGTCGCCGTTGCGACGCACAGCAACTTGGAAGCCGAGTTCGGTGGACAGTGGATGGACCAGATAGTGGTTTTGGTGTTTGAGCCTTTGAGTTTCTTTACTCTCCCTGGAACTAACATGAAAGTGGAAAACCACCTGTTTGTAGTGGATTGCATGGTCTTCCTTTCGGGGCCATTCTAACCTCCGAAATGAATGTGATGCAGGCAGTCTCTGTTGCAAAGCGACCTGAATAAGTCCAACCCAAGACTGGTATCACAATGCTTTGGAGAACATTGAAAGGCCATTCTAACTGCAGCGGGTTCTGCAACCAAATTCTAGAAACATGAGAAGCAGAGCAGGTTCATCAGCGACCCATACAGAAAGAGCAACCTCTTGCTCATAAAGGCCTCACGCACACGCCTTTTGCCTGGAGCCAACTATTGGTGGGCCTAGTCTGCTGAAATCCTGCATAACGTTGGATCCCCAGGCTGAGGGCGGAGGCTTCATCAGCCAGATCCAAATCATTAGAGATCGGATCCAGGCCACTTCAAGCCACCCTACATCATCCAGACTTCCAGCCAAGCACCTTACAGAAATCTGCTGGACCTCGCGCGGTGTTCGCATTTTCCTTGGCCTCAAATGGGAGCATACAACGAACTGTTCGTCCAAAAAGACTCTGACAAGTTGCTGTTGCTCGTGATTCATGACCCCCTTTGATGTGGAACACCAAGAAGGCCAACTGCACTGGTCAATAACACGCGGGATTTGCACCGGTCACATGGGCAACAGCAAACCTTTGAGGGGGATGATAGCTTCTTTGCACATTGAGATTGCGGAGGGTCCTCATGCTCGCCATGTAAGATGGCATCCAACCATAATGAAAAGACATCCATGAACACACCCCGTGTAGTGCACCACAAGACTAATTATAGTCAAACGCAGTTTGGATTGGACATACACTTGTGACTTGGGTATATAGCCACTCACAGGCAATGATATGTCATCACAGTGGGGCTCCCAAAGATAACCACGTCTTAAAACATGCTGCGACTGTTTGCGCATGTTTGGCATCATCAGCTAATCAATCTTGTTTTAATGAGGCCTATGTTGAGTTTACTATGTGTTTTTTGGTCTCTCTCGAAATATTGAACAACATAGGACTTCGTAGCGCAAAAAGGCACCCTCCAGATTATCTTTATGGTGCTTGCCAAGCAATCCTCACGCGTCATGCATATCTGCTCGAAACACCTCAGCGCGCTTGGCGCGGGCGGATCTTTGGCCATTGCTTGAGGTGGAGGAAGGGTCCTGACTCTTGCGTTGGTGCGAAGGCGGCTGCAACTGTGCCAACTGAAGGGATTGGCCACACATGGGCAGAAGCAGTCAGGTGAAACGCAAAACGCGTACCATGTACAGCTTCAAGACCAAAAGGTCCCCTGTCGCATCGCCTTTTCGATGCGGGCAAACAAAACATCGTTCGGTGCACCCAACCGCCAAGTATTTGTTGGACCTTTGGATTATTTTGTTGTCCCCGAAACGAGGTACCTGAAGCAGTCAGCGGCAATTTCTTGAAAGTGCCCGGTTTGAGTGCCAACTGCAATGGCCTATGGCCGTCTTCTAAAGTCCTTTTCTCCAGCTGTTGCGCAACACTGGACCTTAACCATGCCAGATCAGGGTGATGACCTTGGTAGAGACTGGTGATTCTAGTTGCTCAATGGTTCGGACATCCTGTGGGAGATTTGGAAAGCGGCCAGGTGGAGCGCTTTGCTAAACCATTTGTTGTCTTCCAATCAGTGACGTGAGACATGGTTGAGTTTGTGACAGAAAAGAGGAC